TAAGATAAATATGATAAAATATAATAAAATATGATAAAATATGTGATAAAATATAATATATTATTAGCAAAATAATTGATTATTATTTATTATCAAAAACTGAAACCGAACAGATTTAAAACCGATTTATTGATAACCGAACCAATCGATTTTTTGATAATTTTGATTCGGTTTCGATTCTCAAAATTAAGAAAAAAAATTTTGGTTATTTCAAAATCGATTTCGATTTTAACCAAAACCGGTTTTTGCCCACCCCTACCCGTGAGGATTCCCATTCTCCGTAGACAATGGGAATAGGGGGGCAAAATCTACCTCCCGTCAAAAATCCCCGTAGGAACGGGAATAGGGAGGGATCTTGGGCCCCACGAAACCCCATTCACATCCGTAACTCTTGCTCCACAATTGGTCATCGTTATTTTCCAGAAACTAATATGAAAGTAGCAACCAAGATCCAAGTAGGCATTTTAGTGGATTGAGCCGAAGATTAAAAAATTTTTGCAAACTAGCCAACATAGTGTTTGGGCCGAGCCCAAACTCTTCCTTTCAATTTGGTAGTGTCAGAACAAATTTCCAATCAGTCATTATTTTCCTTCTTATAAGATCTAAAATTTGTTAAAAAGAAATTTTGAATATGGATTTTAAAGTAACTTACAAACAAATTTTAAAAAATTTAGGCAGAACTCTCAAATCCATCCTCAAAAAATATCGGTAGAGACATATTCACCTCTAAAAAAAAATCAAGGATAAATTGTCGCTCCAAATCATAAATCAATACAAATTACCTCTTTTTTAACGTTTTCCGTTAAAAAATGCTGACGTAGTAAACAAAATTTTGACGTTTTTTGTTGAAAAATGGGTGATTTGTATTGATTTATTATTTAGATGGGCAATTTGTCCTTGTTTTTTTTTAAGGGGTGGATGTGTCTCTACTGATATTTTTTTAGGGTGGATTTAAGGGTTTTACCAAAAAATTTATGTCACTGCCTTTTCAAAACTTACTTATAAATCACTTTAAAAGAATATTTTA